GTCTCTGGACCAGGGATTGGGCACCCCTGGCTTACAGTCTTGCACAGCCATGCCACTACAACTCTTAGACAGCTACATCTACAGGACCCCAGTACACACAGACTCTACAGCATGTCGTTATACTGTCATTTGTGTCAAACTAAAACCATCTGAACAGTTGAAATGGTCTGAACAGGTGCATCCTCAGACTAGAGCGCTTCATACCGCCCACTCGTCTCAGCGTGCATTGCTTTGTGTGCATATTATGGCCGTGGGTGCGTGTGAATTTGAGAGTTTCCTCCGTACAGCTGACCGAGTGTGGCCGATCCCTGTGGCGCCTTCCTTGACAAATAAAAAATCAACATTTTAGGGACAGCTCCAAACGCAAGGCCAAGGTCGGTGAGCCCTCACCTTCCTCCTCCTCTCCTTTCTCGCCCTTTTTCTGTCTTCCCAATTCCCTCTTGGATGTGTTGAAACATGTGGGGTTTGTTTTTTTTTTGTTTTTTTTCTCGGTAAAATATCACTTTCCGAAGGTGCTGACTCTGCGGCAGAGCCGTCTCTCATTGATCATCGTGCACATTTGTTTTCCTGGGCGGGAGTCACAAAACAGACACCCACCATTCATCCAGTGGAGCAGGCGTCCGCCTGTCTCCTGCAAAGTCATTGATCAAGGTTAAATGGAGACATGTCTGGAGGATGTGAGCTCCATGATGCCTGTACACACTCCTGAATGAATTGGTACCTGTGTAAATAGCCATCGATTTTCCTTGTCAGGAGAAGCTGCCAGCAATTACAGAAGAATGGCATGAACACAAAAGCCAATTTACATATCTCTCAAAACCAATTATTGACCGCGCGTTTCGACGGGGCATGCTCGCGTCACACACAGTCTGGAACCTGCGAAGAGGCGTTGACAGCAGAAGCTCCTACATTTCTGAAGAGGAGGCCTGCGGCATTACAGGAGTAGCGCCGATTTCAGCGAGAAGGTCAACAGTTCACATGCCTATACCGAGGGGGAGAGTTCCAGAGGGTAGGTGCGGTAAAACTGAAGGCCAGGGCCCCAAAGGGGTGGAGACAACTCAGTGGAGCTGACGTTCCATTGACAGGATGGGGTGTAGAGACGTAGGAAGTCGGAAAGGTTCTGGGGAGGAAAGGCCAAGGAGGATGCAACATTTTTATAAGAAAAGCAGAACCAGAAGCCTGTGGAGGTAAATGACGGTTGGAGGTGATGTGCTGCCAGGGCCTGGTGCGAGGACCCTGGCAGCAGAGTTCTGGACGTATTGGAAGCTGTCCAGGGTTTTGTTGGGAACAGGACCAAACAGGACTCCACTGCAGTATTCTAACCGGGGAGAAATGGAAGAGTGGATGAGTTTCTCAGCCACTGAGTCAGTACGTGACGGTCGGAGTCGAACGTTGTTTTTGAGGTTTAAAAGTTGAACCTTAATATTCTTCCAGGTGACATTTACCTGGAAAACAATGTCAAAAAAATCAAGTGAAGTTAGTTTTATGAGCTCGGAGCATAGCCATAAATTTAAGGAGATTAGCCAACAGATTGTTGCAAACTTAAAAGATGTTAAATAATTAATGGGGAAAAAAATAAAGCAAAAAACAACTACATGATTCTTGTTGTATTTGAAATGAAAATAAAACAGGTTGTTTAGATACAACCAAAAAGAAGTAATAAATAGATAATATTCGGGTCAAATAAGCCAAAATATGAGCAACAGTTAACGAAAAAAAAAAGCTAAAAACTGCTAAACATACATAACTTATAAATATATTTGTATAGAAATGCCATTCTAAAAACAACATACCTTTATGCGTGGTATAAATAATGAATGAATTATTTATTTTGCTTTAAGATGAAATGCTACCAGCCTTTAAGTTCTGCTGCTGTTTCGTCTCAAGGTCGAACCTAAAATAACAACATACAGCATTTAGGAAGAACAGAATCATCCATAAGTCACCAGAGAGTTTTAAAAGTGGGGACTGATGTACTGATGGACTCCTGAAAGTCGGTACTGGTGCACTGATCAACTCCCGAACATTGGCTGCTGATACACTGATGGACTCCTTTGCTTCTGGCGCACGGAATATCATTTATTTAATACGTCAATTTGAGCCGGGGCAAAGGAGACTTATTGGGGTCTTTGAATGAACCCTGACTGAACCGATGTCCATGCACAAATTGAAAACTATACGTACAGTAAAGCCTGTTTCTGCCACTTCTTTGTGCAGTTTAAAGAGATGATTGTAGACCAACACTAGCATTCTCAGAGTTTCAGAGACACAAATACTGTTTTTTTTTGTGATCATTTCACATCAGTGAAAATGAAAACGGCTGTTTTCTTTTATCTACCCCGGCAAAATGAGACGTTACAGAAATGTTGGCTGAAATATGCACTGACTGTATTTCTCAATTTAAAGGTATTATCTCAAGTGTATTTACAACAAACCAAGCATATTTCCTTCAGCTGCTTCCACGTGTTTCACAAGTTGCAACCGGCTTTACTGAGCATGGAATCAGTGGCCTGCTGCTCCCAATTCCATGATCACACCTGCTCCAGTCAGGAACCACGGAAAAGAGCATGAGGTCATGGAAAAGAACCACAAAAAAAAAAAACAAACAATGAGCACGACCTGAGAAGGTCCACGGGGTCATTGCTCTGCCCCGCTGTGATGTTCATGCAGCTGCTGCTTTGTTACCTCTCGCAGAGACCAGTCCAACCCCGATACTTTCGTCTCAGCTGTTATTTTCAACTGTTTGTTTTATAACTTTTTTTTTTTTTTTAAATCCTTAGCACAGCTTGGCTTCGAGCCTCAAATTTTGTAGCCCAGTGTGATGCTGTAGCCTCCAGCAGCCATTAGAATCATGTTTTCTTTTATATGTTACATCACAGTCGTTTACGTTTGCACGCTACAACAATCATTGTCAAAATTGTATTTGGGGGCATGACAGATTTACATTTTCATATCCTCAGTCAGCCTTGAGAGTGAGTGAGACATGAAGGGTTGAGGCTTTTATTGGAGCCGCAAATACTTACGACCCTTATACAACAATGCATTAGAGTAAGAAGTGTTTTTATTGATACGGTGTAAACCTGTAAGCACGAAGGTGAGCAATTGTCAAAAACTCAAAAAGGGTGAGGAGAATTGGAAAATAAGAAAAGGAACCTATCAACAAAACTGATCGGTCACACAAAATGGCTTGGCGGGCCGCATTTGGCCCCCGGGCCTTGAGTTTGACCCCTATGCACTAGATCATTAGGAAGAAATACAAACTTGCACTTTCATGAGATATAATACTACAGAGAGGAAGAAACAATTTTTTCCCCAGATCCATCCATCAGTTTCCTCTCTTTCTCTCTTAATCTTCTCTTGTAGCGATCCCTGGGAACATTTTTTTTTTTTTTAGCTGTGTCCTGCCTCTGTCCTTTGGCTGCATCTTTCATGTTCCGGCCATAATAATCATGTCATCATGTCCCCTACACAAGAACAAAAAGGAATGAAAAAGAGAACATAGGTACACTAATCTTCTCTTTTCTCATCACCCGTTCGCTTTTTTCCCCATCTGAGAGTTCCGACCAGTAACGCCGCCAGGAGATTGAATTGGTTTCACACTGGGAACAGTCTGTGAGGGCTACAGATTTGATAAGACGCACCTGAATTTCAGACACGGTCCACTGCTTGTATACTGGCAGTGTGACAAGCCCAGAGGCCACACACACACACACACACACACACACATGCTATGTGATGTACTGCACTGGCAAATGCTCAGAGAGGGATATTTCCACGTTCCATCCATCTGGTGCGGCCATTGTGGTGGTTTGTGATGAGCTGTCAACCCAATAAAAGCTGTTACTCATCCCAGCGCAGCATCTATCCTTTGAGCCTGACACAGACGGCGTTGGGCTCCTCTCAAGTCGTCGTGGTCTTTGAGCCCGTCTCTTTGTTGGCCCGGATCAAACTGCTCAAAGGTGTTGATTGTGGGATAGCAGTCAAAGGGCCATCAGAAATGTCACAGCCTGTGTGAGTATATGTACACACTGGAGTTATAACCTGGCAACAGATGGGATGGCTTTTGTCCCTCACCGGTTCTGTCAGTAACACACCTTTTGCTTCCTGCTGTTTGAGAAACGAGTGTGAGGCTCGACAGCGAAGGATAATGGGGACAGAACACAAGTAGAACACACTTTGTTCACATGACTCATGCAGGAGCACTGAAAAGCAGAGATTGGTTTTAAAAACACAACGCGTGTTAAAAGCATGTTTGGGTTTTCTCCCTGATGTACCTTTTGTGTCGTTGGTGGCTTCCTGCTCCTCTAACTTCTCTGCTTCTTTCGCTTGGCTGTTCGTAAAGATTGCTTTTTTACTTACTGTTTGCCTTGCCTTCATCCAAAACATTTTTGTCCAACATCTGAGATCTTGATGCTAACCCTACATGAGAACTCGCTTTTGGCTTACTGTTACTAGAAGTCATTTGACTGTTCATCCAAGATGCTTCTTCAGTTTTGAAGAAGCATACTATACACATACTTTTACTTTAATTTAGAACACCACTGACACTAACTCTACTATCACAGTTACTACTGTCGGCTGTCAGTGACTCGTCAATTGGCTCAAATATACGAAATTACACTTCTTACATTCATTGGGGAGTCACTCATTCACCTTGATGTATTTCATGATCATTAATGCGTCTTTTATTGCTTAATAATTGCGGAAATTGAGATGTGGTAGTCCCAGTAGTCAAGGAGTGGGGGCACAGTTACAACCAGGACAGTTCACTAGCACTGTATATCAGAGAGTCTTGTACAGAGACAACCAATAATTCACACCCACTTTCAAAAGTATTGTTCATTTAATTACATAACAAAATTATATATAAAATTATAAAAAATTATATATAATCTCAGTTTAAACGAGATTAATTACTTTATTATTCTTTAAACGTGTATAAATCGCAATTTAATGTCGTGCGTGTGCGCCTGTGTTTTGGTTTGTGGTCTGCGTGACAGGAACAGCGCCTGTGACGTAGAACGGCAGTCACTCTCGCGCCGCACCGAAACAGTGCATTCTGGGACCGACCCAAGATGGCTGCGCCCTGTCAGGAGTGCTGAACAAGTGCCTCTCTGGAGATATTCTCACAGTTGCGTGGGGTTTCCGCTATTTCTGTCTCACTGAGTCACCTAGGAGGCTCGCAGACGGTTAGAAGACAACCCCACGAACCCAGTCATCGACAGTAGCGGCGGGAGCTTGGCGTGGCTGTGGCAGAGTGTCCGTGTGAAGATGGGCCTCGTCTCCATCCCCTT